AAGTTATAACCTGAAGGTGCTATGAGTAGTCACTTCAAGCATGGATTACCTGTACTTCTTTTAACCTGAAGTAAACTATGAGTACTACAAGGTACTTCATTTAAGTTTCTAGGGGTCCTCACCAATCCAAAAAGGATCTGAAGAAGAAAGCCTGTGTTCCCATTAAGGCAAAGTATCCATATGCATAAGCATTTTGTTTCAGAAGAGGACTTAAAATACTGATCATAAATACATTTTGTCAGAATCCCTTCAATCTGAAACATACTGAATCCAATGGTCGAAGGGAAAACCTGGGGTGATAAATTACCTAGGGTAGGGAAAGCTATGTGAGTAGTCAGATCTAAATTATAGTGACTTCCATGCATAATAGGTAATAGTTGGGTGATACAACAACAGGGTAATGCTCATTGCAGTGGCCCCCTTCAGAAGCAGGAAGGGGAGAAGAGAAAGGCTGGATCTGTGGGTTTAGTGATGGTGGGTGATATTATATTTGTGGTGGTGGCAGGTATGCTGGTGGAAGCCCTAATGGAGGTGATCTCACCACATAAGGAGTTTATGAGAAAGAGGCTGAATATTTTTCCACTCAGGTGCTGTCACCTGTACTTTAAGGATCTCTTTGCATGGTTACTATTTCTGTCTCCGGCAGGAGATTTTGTGGGCAAGCAATTTCCACTTGTCAGTGTAGGCGAGATCAGCAGGTGATACTTTATCACTTGGGCTATGATTAGGGCTGATTACAAACTGAATGAGCTCCACGAACCTGGCACCAAAGATTTGGTTCTTAATAGAACCTTCTAGTAAAGAAGGCCCATGCCTTCCTAAAATTTCTAGCAGTATATATAGGTTATCAATAATACGGCCCTTTTCCAACTGACAAAGGTAGAGTGAGCACCTGCAAGCAAGGCATCATTTATTGCCAAAATTAGTACATTTGTGATAAAGGACCCTAGAGCAGAGTCCCCAACCTTTCTAGCTTGGTGGCCTGGCCTGGCGTGGGGGGCGTGGGGGGAGGGGGCATGAGTGGCAGGCGCATGGGTGCGTGCTCAGCTCCATTTGTGCAAGTGATGGACTCACACGCCCACTGCTCACACAAATGCAGCTTCATGCACAAGCAAAGGATGCTTGCACTTATGCACAAAGCTCCACTCATGCGAACAGAAGGTGCTTGTGTGAGCGTGCAAAGCTCCCCTTGTGCGAGCGGAGGGCACTCGTGTGCAAAGCTCAATTCTTTGAGCCTCGCCCATCTCTCCTGCGCTCCTGTTTCAAACAGACTGCGGCCTGGTAGTTGGGACCCCTGCCCTAGAGGATATATAGCAAACTTTTTGCACAAAAGGCTATTGCCACGATCACCTTAAAATAGCACACAATATAAAACAGAATCAGTAGCTCCTGTCAGGCAAAGTTTTCAATGAGGTTACTGGCTTACATGGTCTGCTCCTCAGAGTCAACTGGAGCTAGGTGGCTACAATAAATTGAAACAAACACATACACACATATATGTACCATATTTTTCAGAGTATAAGATGCACCAGATTATAAAATGCACCTACCTTTTTTGATGAGGAAAACAAGAAAAAGAAATCTGCCTCTGCCTCCCAGCAATTTTGCTTCCTTACAGCAAACAGCCTGCTTTACTTTCATTTTCATTTTCAGCATAGCTTGATTAGCACAAGGGGAAAAAAAATCTGCTCCAGAAATTTACCTCCTTGCAGCAAGCAGCAGAGGCCCACACAAAACAGCTGAGAGTCGGGAGGCCGATCCAATCAACTTGTGCTAATTACACTGTGCTGAAGCTGAAAGGAGCTGTTTGTTCTTGCTGCTTGTTGCAAGGAGGTAACTGCTGGGAGGCAGAAGCCAAAGGGTGAGGGCCAGTGGGTGGGCAGGGCTACATTCGGTGTATAAGACGCACCTAAATTTTTACCCCTTTTAGGGGGGAAAAAGGTGCGTCTTATACTCTGAAAAATATAGTATGCGTTTATTTCAATTTACCATAGCTATCCAATCCCAACTGACGCTGGGGGAGGGTACCAATAGAATCCATACAAGCAAATAAGACCTAAAACCATAGCGATGGCCCAGACAAAAGCAATCTCAAAATGACACAAATCAAACTAACGAACAAAAGCAAAACACAGTACCCCAAAATGGAAGGCTTTAACAATACATTAACCCCAGGCCAGGGACCAAAGCCAGTTTTAAGAGCTTGCTTGAACCCTAGAAGAGAGGACACGGTCCTTGTGTCTGGGGGCTGGGACAGAGGAGGAGAAGAAGAAGGGTGAGGCTGTGACAGAGAAGGTTTCCTTTCTCAGTCCTGCAAGAAGACAACATTTGAAAGAGGCGACCTGGAATGCACTTAACCTGTTGGAACACAGTGGGCGTGCACAAAGAACTGAAGGCAAGGATTCCCTTAGATAGTTAAGCCCTATGTCATACAGGGATTTATAAGTAGTAACTAGCAGCTTGAATTGTACTCAGAAACCAACTAGCAACCAATGCAACATAACTCGTCCAAGCGGAGTTCTTTATTGTTCTACAGACATCTATAGAAAAAAATCTTGCCGTACCGAAGACTGTACCTTCTGCATCTACAATACACTCCGTGTAACTATTTAGAGAAGGAAGGGGCTGTTTTCACCCTCTTTCTCTCACACGGTGCCTGGAGGCCGTACGGATCTGGATGGGGAGAAACAGGCTCAGGCTCAACCCATCCAAGACCGAGTGGCTGTGGTTTCCGACGTCCCGATATAGTCAGCTGGTGCCATCGCTGACTATTGGGGGCGAATCATTGGCCCCCACGGAAAGGGCTCGCAACTTGGGCATCCTCCTGGATTCACGGCTGCTTTAGAAGAGCATTTGACGGCCGTGACCGGGAGGATTTTTCATCAGGCTCGCCTGATTCGCCAGTTGCGTCCCTTTCTAGATCGGGACTCCCTACGCACAGTCACTCATGCCCTCGTCACCTCCCGTCTGGACAATTGTAACGCTCTCTACATGGGGCTCCCCTTGAGGAGCATTCGGAGGCTCCAACTGGCGCAGAGTGCGGCCGCGCGGGTGATTATGGGAGCGTCGTGGCGTTCCCATGTAACACTCTCCTGCGCGAGCTGCACTGGCTTCCGGTGGTCTTCCAGGTGCGCTTCAAGGTTTTGGTTATTACCTTTAGAGCGCTCTATGGCTTAGGACTTGGTTATTTACAGGACCTCCTGCTACCACCAATAGCCTCCCACCGGCCAGTACGCTCCCACAGAGGGGCTCCTCCGGGTGCCGTCAGCCAAACAATGTTGACTGGCGGCCCCTAGGGGGAGAGCTTTCTCTGTGGGGGCACCTACGATCTGGAATGAGCTCCCCCCAGATATGGAGGATCCCGAATCTGCGCACCTTCCGTCACGCGCTCAAGATTTTTTTATTTCATCAAGCTGGCCTGACCTAATTCTTTTCCCCTTTTAAATGTAAATTTTAATTTGTTTTTAAATTATTGAGTATTTTAAATTTGTCTCAGCCAAATTATTTAATTCGTTTTTATTCTACTTTAAATTTTTGTATTTATGTGTTTTATTCTGTGACTGTTCACCACCCTGAGTCCTTCGAGAGTAGGGCGGTATATAAATCCAATAAAAACAAAACAAACAAAACAAACATGGTATCTGGGCCGAGTTGCCTCTTACTCCTCTGGAATGTGTTGCCTCCCTCCTGGGGATCCACCTCCTCACTAGATTCTATCACACTTATCCTATCAACAACGTAAGACTTTGTAAGTAAGGACACATCTTTAATTTGGAGTGGTGATCAATGGGCCATGACATTTTGAATCAGCAGTAGCTTTCAGATGATCTTCAAAGGCAGCCCCATGTAGGGTGCATTTCTATAAAACCCCGTCACTAAGTGACCAGGGCATGAGTACATTGTTTGAAGGACAATTTCCCAAAGGAGGAAAGGGCACAACTACTCTTCAAAGACCCTTCTATCCCATTCCACCCTGACCCAAACAGCCTCCAAACAGAATCAGTGTATCAATAGTTGTTATTGTTGAATACATATATCTTTAAATAGGTTGGTTGTATCTAGCCTTAACTGAGCTTTGTTTAATGAAGCATTTTTCAAATGAGCTGGGACAGAACACTTTCCAGAATTCGTAGCATGCATGACGTTACAATTTTAGGCAAAAATGTATGGTTTACCATATTCTCTTTCATTTAAGCCTTCTAACATACTCATAAGTTCCTAATGCTATCATTTATCTTCTTTTAACGACCCCATAATCCCTTGCGGGGTGGAGTCTGGGCAACTGAAAGGAGCTGTTTACTGACCAGATGCCCTTCCTGTCACCAATGCGGAGTTTTGTTTAGCAGATATATTCTCATTGTGCCCAGAGAGAAAAATATCTGCCTCTACCTAGGATCGAACTCACAGCCTCCTGATTGTGAGGCGAAAGCTCTACCTCTAGGCCACCGCACCACTCATTTATGCTTTATAAATATTTATTCATATTAGATCTTTTGGGTTTTGTTTGGGTATTAATTACATCACTATATATACTGGGTTTTTTTTAAGAACGCCAGGACACATGAAGGAATCAGATCCGAGTGCATAATGTTCCAAAATAAAACTTCCATTTTTTTTTTTTAAATAAATGAATCCATATTCTCTTCTGGGAACACTTCCCAATTCATCATATATACAGCTTCCCTACTTGTCATTTTAAACCCACTAGGAAAAAATACCCAGATGTTCTTGATACTCAAGAAGAAAAGTAGACATCCCGGAACCAATATTGACAACTTAGACAAATTCTTATAGCAAATTTTGGCTTACAAAATTGAAGTTAATGTTCCAAATGGGAGGATGACATTTAAATGTGGTTAACTGATTGAAGAGCCAATATACCCTGGTAAATAAGTACTGCCATAACCAAAATATTGACAGATAAACAAAAGGGAAACAAGATTGCACCCTTGCTGTATACTTATTAAATTTCAGTCCATTTTGCTTTAGAAAATTCTTACCTTGGTATTGTAACACATTTTGTATTGCAGTTCTGGGTAGTGATTGCTTTTTCAAGCTCATCCAGTTGTCCCGTCTTCTTGAGCTTCTTGACCAAACTTTTCACTGCTTTTTCGCACCACTTTTCTTCCTGTCCATTCTGCTCACCTCCACCAGCACCTCCTGAGCCACCAGCCGATTTCTTCCACCCTAACAGTCTCTTCACAACCGGCGGGGTGAAGGGCAATATAGATGACATGGCCCAGTACGAATACACCTAACACAATTCAGCTGCCTTTCACGACCTATGGGGGAAAAAAGAAAGCCGTTAGAAGATATAATAGAATTCCTTAATTCTTCCATTGTATCCCGACAAAATGGAGATTTCTCCCGCTAATACTGTTATTGGATATGCGCTTAGTTCTAAGTATAAGATCTATTTTGTTTCCATGTAATAAATAGCTCAGATTGAAAGCATCTGCCAACTCTGAAGCTAGCCTGACTAAGGCCATCTTGGAGGCTTCAGTATTGCCACAATGGACCAATGGTTTCCAAAGATACAGATACAGAGTAACAGAGTTGGAAGGGATCTTGGAGGTCTTCTAGTCCAACCCCCTGCTTAGGCAGGAAATCCCTACACCACTTCAGACAAATCTCTTCTTAAAAATTTCCAGTGTTGGAACATTCACAACTTCTGGAGGCAAGTTGTTCCACTGATTAATTGTTCTAACTGTCAGGAAATTTCTCCTTAGTTCTAAGTTGCTTTTCTCCTTTGTTTCCGTGTGTTGCTTCTTGTCCTACCCTCAGGTGCTTTGGAGAACCCCTTTCTTCTTTGTGGCAACCCCTGAGATATTGGAAGACTGCTATCATGTCTCCCCTAGTCCTTCTTTTTTATCAAACTAAACGTCATCTCAAAGATGAGGGTGAATTAAAACCTAGAATTCACACTAGACCAGGCTTTTGCAAATTTCCTGCGCTGTAGTTGTGCACATTTCAACTCCTAGAATCTTCTAGCATTAGTTATATTGGCTAAAAATTTCACAGCGCTGGTCTACCTCTTTAGGTTTTATCCAGGCTGAGAAGGCTAAGACAAGCTAAAGTGTGGTGCTAAAACTTAAAAGCTCACATAGGAAGCTACTGTTAGGTGCAAGATGCCTCCTTTGCTTGATACTAGAAATCTATTTCTATCAATTCACAGAGAGAGTAAATCCCATTCCTTCCTAGTACTGATGATGTGACCTAAGCTGGGTAATAAAATGTCTGTAAGAAAAGAACCAAGCTCAAAGAGCACCAAGCATCGCATAGTTCAAACCCGAGCTACAAATATTCTCTTCTATTGACAGTTACTTAAAGCTGATGAGTGCATTTTCTACCCTAAAATATTGGAATTTCAATTTATCACTTACAATACTAGATGCAATGCATGTATTACAAGAAAATAAATGTATGTAACTGTTGAGAGCAAAACATTTTGACATATTTTATATATAACTGTCAATCCTAAAAAAATATGAAATTTATACAAAAGGGGAAACCTAGTGTCACTTTTGATTAGTAGAGAAAAAAATCAATATTTCTTGAATCCCATCTTTAATATCTAGAAACATTACTTTTTCAATCTTTCAGTATAATTATTTTACTATTCTTAACACCCAACAGATCCAAAGTTCCTCAAAACAGGTCAAATTCCACAATTTTGGTTATAATTCAACACAGCTACCACCTATTTTTAAAATAGAATTTTTCCATACAGTTATATATTCATATGGCTCAGCATCAAAATCAAACCTATAAAGGTTGGTATATTTTATATTTAAAGTTCTTCTCCTGCAATTCCAGCAGCCAGGAGCTACTGGATGCCCAAATTTCAGCACATGGGCAATATAGGCACAGAAGCCTCTTCAGATGAAATGAATCGCTAGGAGAGGCTTCCAGGGAACTCTGAAATTTTTAAATATTTAACCTCACATTTTTACTGTAATGGGGAAAAATGTATACACATACACCCCTGCATATGCATAAACAAACCACATATTTTTAAACAATCTAATTATTATGATCACGTCAAGATGTCTTAGAATTTACATTTAAATCACATAATCAGAAAAAATGTTTATATTAAACAATTTGTCCTATCATTGCTATATTCCATCATACATCAAGTAAAATAATCACAACCAGAAGCAATGGCTGGTAATAATTACTGAAAGGGAGGAATGGAGAGAAGGGGTAGAAAATGTGTAAACTGACACCCCTGGTTCTTGTTTATTATATATTCAGAAAAACGCAAACCTCTAAGATTCACAATATTGCACAGACCAAGCAAGAATTTCTGTGCATAGGATAAGCAAAACTGTATCACTATTCATGGTTTGGCATCCAGATTTCATTTAGTAAAGGAATCCCTTCCATTCTCCAAAGCTCAGTTCAGCATCAGCTGGGGTGACAATGAGTCATGCACCGTCTCTCAGCCCTAGGAAGAAAGCAGTAGCAAACCATTTCTGAAAATAATGTTGAGAAAACTGCAGGGATTAACTCAAGGCGTTCGTCAGGACTGACCTGAAGGCCTAGTCTTTGTTTCAAAAAGCCATATATATGTATATCTATATGAATTGTTTTGCACAAATGTCTGTGTGTGTTGGGAAGTTATTCATGAGTTCAAATGCCATTTCAAAGAATGGCAAGGGAAACTGTGGCATTAACAGCTAAAACGATGCCTTGAATTTGTGCATAAAAGCTTTTTCTCCTGCAAGGTACAATATACTACTTACAATCAAAATATAATTTATGAAGTTCCCTGTAATATAAGCATGATTCTGGGGGTGGGGGGGAATCTATTCTATATAATTGTAGATAGGATGTAATCCAATTAATCTAGTATTAATTATTGAAGGGACTCCCTCTCCCTGGTTACATCCGGTGGTGAAATCCAAAATTTTTTACTACGGGTTCTGTGGGCGTGGTTTGGTGGGTGTGGCAGGGGAAGGATACTGCAAAATCTCTATTCCCACCCCACTCCAGGGGAAGGATACTGCAAAATCCCCATTCCTTCCCCACTCCTGGGAGAAGGATATTGCAAAATCTCCATTCCCACCCAACTCTGGGGCCAGCCAGAGGTGGCATTTGCCAGTTCTCTGAACTGCTCAAAATTTCCACTACCGGTTCTCCAGAACCTGTCAATACCTGCTGGATTTCACCCCTGGTTACATCTACCCATCTCACCAGGAGAGACTTGTTATGGATCCTGCCTGCTAAGGAGTGCCATTCGATGGGACCCAAAGGATGAGCCTTCTCTGCTCATCCTACCCAACCTATGGGACATTGTAACCCCCTGCCCCAAAGTGAGATTGGCCGAGAGCCTCCCGATTTTCTGGAAACCTCTTAAAACCCGAGTTTTGTCAGCAGGTTTGGGGATCCCATAGAAGTGGGGAGCCCCTGAAATGCTACATGATAGGAAAGATCTCAAAGGCTTTTAGTCTCCCAGGGTTTTAGTTATATTTATGTTTTAAAGTTTTTTTTTAATTGGTCTGTTTTTATTACATGGCCCCACTCCCAGAGTCACATCCATGTGACCGGCAGCCATATAAAGGTGACATTTTTTAAAAAAAAAACCTACAATAAAACAATACAATAAATGAGCTAGAATGTATTTATATTCCTTATGTAAAATCATGCACGGCTCATTTAGCAACCTCCTTGCTTAGCAACAGGAATTCTGGTCTCAATTGTGGTCGTAAGTTGAGGACTACGTTTAGTCAAATTGATGGTTTGGCTGACCCCTTTTAATGCTGTAAAATACATTATGCTGCAGCCACAATTATTTTGGTTTTAAATAACTTCCGGGTACCAGGAAGAGCTGCAACCATCGTGACTTTTTAGTCTCTTTTTCACCAGTCCCCACGTATTTTAGAAGTTTCCTCTTCAGAAGTCAAAAGTAACTATGTTGGAATGGGCTGGTAATTTCCCACTTCCTTCTATTTCTTAGAATTGCACCATGAGCCTTTTGGCAACAACTCCCCATGTTGTGCAATGTGCCACCCTTTGAAATTCACTGGCGAATAGGATAATAAAGAAAATACTATGGAATTATTTCAGGACTAACTTTAAAACGGGGTGGATAAAAATCTATGATTTTTTTTTTTAAATCAAAAAAATCAATTTTTAAAATTTTTATTCAATTTATTTTAATAAAATGATTTTAGAGTAAAAATCTATCTAAAGATAGTTTTAAGATCCATTAATAATTTAGTCTACTCAGCATGAAATAGAGCTTAATTATGTAGCATGAGGCTGTATATTCTGCAATATCTGTCAGGGACTGTCAGTAAGTCAACGGCAGGTCAGAGGAGCTGCTGCGGGACAGAGATGACAGTTGCTCTTTAAAAATCGTGATTTAAATCAAGTTGATTTAAATAAAATCCACCTTGCCTTAAAACATTTAGTTCTTCAGATCAAAGGAAGGCCATTGTCCTCAAGATGAACCACCAAAATAGATAGATAGATAGATAGATAGATAGATAGATAGATAGATAGATAGATAGATATAAGATAGAGATATATAGATAGCATGTACAATTTATGTATTGCATCAACTGCTCTCAAAATCTTTAGTCGATCTTTAGTAAAATCCTGGCATATATTAGTAAGAACATGTGTATACAGGTTGTCCTCAACGTACAACTGCTCGTTTAGTGACCATACAGTTAAAACAGCACTGGAAAAAAAGTGACTTATGACCGGTTTTCATACTTATGACCTTTGCAGCAGCCCCATGGTCATGTGATGAAAATTCAGATGCTTGGTAACTGACTCATATTTATGACAGTTGCAGTGTCCCGGGGAGTCATGTGATCACCTTTTGCAACCTTCTGAAAGCAAAATTAACGGGGAAGCCAGATTCACTTAACAACCGTGTTACTAACTTAATAGCTGCAATGATTCACTTAGCAACTCTGGCAAGACAGGTCGTAAAAGGGGGAAAAAGTCATTTAACGAATGTCTCACTTAACAACAGAAATTTTGGGCTCAATTGTGGTTGTAAGTGTTTTGATGTTCTAACAAAGTTTAGTATTGCTTGTAGCTTTACAAAAGTAGTAGTTAAATCATATTAAAAGAGCAACATACAACTTTTAGAAAGCAATATTTATAGCTCACTTAGCAAGTCAAGCTCTTGATGCTTCCAATTACAAATTTGCATGCATGATCCATTAATACAAAGTAATCTGAAAACTGCATCTTAAAACTCTTAAAACTGTATATACTGTTGCCAAAACTACAGAGAACAGGCAGCATTTCTTCAACTATA